TATGTATGTATTCCTTGATGCAGGGGATATCCAGGCATTGCCTTAAAAAGCCATTGGGGAGCCTCTGTAACCAGTATGCGCAATGCTAGGAGCAGGGCAGTCTGTACTGTGGCATTCCAGCAAAGACCTCAAAGCTCCCTTTTACCAGGGATGGAAAATAGGCTTTCAGGAAACATCTACAACCCATTTCTTGGCTGTGTTTTGGTGCAAGCTGCTGCTTTAGCTCACTTAATCTTGTGAGTCAGTCATTCAGGTCTTAGGGCACAGTGTGAGGCTCATGTTACTTAAATCAAGATGTCCACAATGAGATTTATTAGCTCAGGGACCAGGATGTTAAAGGTGCAGAGAGCTGGAGTGACAATTGCTCTGTGAGTGAGATTTGTTGGTTTGCAGCTCCTGCTTCCTTAAACATTCCTTTGACATCTTTTTGTCAGTCATCTCATGAGTTTTGTAGGAGGGGAAAACTGGTAACAATCTGTCTCCTTGAGAAGAGAAGCAGGGAGAAAATTTATATTGTTATCTCATTATTTTAATTGTAACATGTTCAAAATCTTGTAAAACATCAGAAGTAATCAAGGAAACCACTAGGATCCTTGAAGCAGAGCAGGACAGTGAGGAAATGAGAAAGAATATGCTTTTGTATATAACTCAGCCTGAAATTCAGCAGGTTTTTGAAACCTTCAGGCCTATGACTACTGAGAAAGGAAGAGCTCTCTCAGGACTGGGTATGATGCACTTTGGTCTGCTCTGCTTGCTATAGCAAAATTGGGCTTAAAGTTTAGTCTGGGCTTAAATCACTTCAAATTTGGGAGGAGCTGAGTGCAAGACCTGTGGGCTGAGCTGCTCACCTTTGCAGCTCCTCTGTGCATATCCAAGCCACATTTGTAGCTCCTGAGATGAGGCAGGGAGGAGTCTGTGAGCTTACAGGGCTCATGGTTAACTGGGACACAGCTCACAGAAGTCATGTCCCAAATGCTCCCAGCTCAGGCTGTGGCTCTCAGATCACAAAATATTCCTTATCCTTTTGATCCATACCCATTTACATGGGCCTAAATAACGTGTGGATGGGCATAAACTTGACAATATACCTGAAAAGACTTAGAGGCTGATTTGGGAGACAAAAAGAGTGTTTCTTCTGCTGGCATCTTTATTAGTGGGTCAGGTGAAAGCTGGTCAAGTGGAAGAGAGGGCTCTGCTGAAGTGAGCAGGGTCTCCTGACAATTTCAGTGCTGTCATTGTTCCTCCAGTCAGTTAATAGATTTCTCCAGGTTCTCTGTGCCAGGTGAAAATTTCCTCATTAAGCAGAATTTATTCCATTTTCTCTTATTGTTTGTTGTCAAAGAAGTGAGTGGATGGAATTCCAAAGATGACAGGGTGGAATTTTCAATTAAAATCAACTACAAATCAACACTGGAGGCTGAAACAGTCACAAGTAAGGTTGGGGAAAAGCTTATTTTGTTTATAAACTGTAAAATGAGCAGAGGCCTACAGCTTTCTGAGGAGGTGAACAACCATTTAATAATCATGGCAATGCACAAAAGTCTAATTGTCTGGATTTGAAGCTCTAAAACTCCTGTCTGTTATTTTGTAAAGGCAAATGTTAGGAAGAGGAGCATTATAGAAGTCTGAAATCACGGTCACTTCGTCTTCCCTCATTTCAGAATTGATTCTAAGCCTGTGAGGGGGTTTAATCTTTGGAAGACTTTTTGCTCTGTGTAGGAAAAGGGAGTGATGCTCCAGGGCAAAGTGGGAGGTAGTGATGTAAGACTGGGTCATGTGATTTGGTGTATCCAGGACTGAGAATTTTTGTCTTGTCTTTTAGTGCTGGATTTCTGGTGAGCTTGAAGGGTTATTTGCTGTCCAATATTCAAAGAGATCAGCCTGATTCTGCTCTTGCTGGCTTTAGTGTCTCTCCCTTGTCTAAAGGGCTGTCTCTGAGCAAAGGGGGAATTGCTCCTTAAAAATTGTCACCCCTTAACCTCTGCATGTCTGTTTTGCTATCTGCAAGATAAGCATAACCCTACCATAGTGTTTGCATGTTTCTTTATATTATTTCCATGAAAGTTGAGACAGAAATGCTAAAAATTACCATGATTAGTAAATGGAAGTTATTCAGTTATGAAAATGTGTGTCCAGCACATTTGTAGAGAGGCAGCCTGATTTCCATAGCAGTGCTGAGGATTTGCAATTCTCTGATTCAGTTCCCATTAAACATGATTGACCAATTCTGCTGGTTTCTTCTATCATGCTTTAGGAGCAGCAGAAGAAAAAGCACATGGAAAAAATGCATGGTTCCATTTCCCCTCTAGGAACTTGTCTTTTCTCTTTTGCATGCTAGTTTTCCTGTAAAAAACTAGTTACCTTTCTGCATGGATTAGTGAGTGGCCTAACCTAATTTAAGCTGCTAGCCCAAGGCAAATGAATCACGGTGCAAAATAATCACTGCTTTTGTTCTACCCTCCCAGCTGGGAGGGAGGGTGACAGTGAATGATATTCTTATAATGAGATACAAGAAATGGAATGAAAACAAGCTGCAAATGAAGGCAATTTGCTGTCTCTGACAGTAATCAAATGACAGCCAGCTATGTGTGTTCCTGAGGCAGAAGGGAGGGAGGGCAAAGGAGTAAACTGCTCAGAAAGAGGCTCATTTTCTTGGGGTCATCAGGTCTACTCACTCATTCTAAGGAGGCTGGGTCCTTAATAGCCAGTGACTGCTAGCATCAGTTTTGACAGAGAATTGGTGGAGTTTGCTGTGTTTGCTTCTGTAAAAGGCACATCTGTGCCCTCAGTTCTGGTGTTCATGATTTGTGCAGGAAGTCCTACCTCTGAGCTGAGATCAGCAAGCAGAATGGGCTGAGGAGAAGTGGAGTAGTTTCTGGTAGAAGTATTAGAGGATGGAAACCATTTTTCATACAGTGGGGTGCCACAAAGTGGATCTCACTTTGGGCAATCCAAACCTGGGAAGCTCAGCCTGCTGGATTAGGCAGGACTTTTTCACTGAATCATAGAATGGTTTGGGTTGAAAGAGATCTTAAAGCTCATCTCATTCCACCCTCTGCCATGGGCAGGGGACACTTCCCACCTGCCCAGGTTGCTCTGAGCCCCATCCATCCTTCTCTTGAACACTTCCAGGAGCAGGGCAGCCACAATTTCCCTTCTGACCCTAAGGAAGAGGAGGCTTTGCTGGGGTAAGAACAGTGATGTGGTGCAGGTTGTAGAGGAGATCCAGGGTGCAGATGGTGCTCTTGCCTGGAGTCCCCTGAGGGCAGAGCAAGCTGTTTGTGGGGCTAAGCTGGGCACTGTGTAGAGGAGAGGAATTACTGTGAATGCTTCTTTCCTGCAAATGTTCACCAGCTTTCCCTTTCTCCTGTGCTGGTTGCAGGAAGGTGGAGTGCTCTCTTTGCATACTCCAGGGCAAGGAGAGAGGTGGCATTGGGAAAATGGACAAATCCTATCCATCCAGGGATCTGAACCCAAGAGTTTCTGGTTCCCAGTGCTGCTCTCAGAACAGCTGGTTTGACACTTGTGACTCTCTTCTGTTTCACACTAGCCTGACTTTACTGAGGGAAGCAGAGCTGCTCCATGCCTAAGCCAGAGTGGAAAATCCAGTCCAATGACTTTTTTTCATGCTTCAGCTTCCTGACATGTTCCAATAAAATGGTCTTACCAGTCTTCTCCCACACAAATAAAATAATGGTATTTATTTTAAAATACTGTCGAGCAAAGGACATAATTCAAAAACTCTGATTTAGGAAAATTGCTTGTTTGTTAATCAAACATTTTCCTTATTCAGAACTTACTTGCTTGTAAGATATTGATTTATTGGGCAGGCAAGAATGCTCTTGTCATGAAGGTGTAAAGAAGTAGTACTGATAAAAATACAGGGTTTTTTATGTTTTTGCAAAAGCTAAGCTTAGAAAAGGTAGCTTAGAAAGAGAGGGAGGCAGAAACTATAAGGGTGGAGTCAAAACAAAGTGGGATGAAGAGTAGAAGAGAAAAGAGTAGAGTAAATGAAGAGGGAATGGAGAAGATGAAAAAAAAATGAAGAGCAAAATGGACAGGTAAATGTTGATTTCAGAAATGGCAGGGGGTAAGCAATGTGTTTCAAATAAACAGCAAAACCAGGACTTCTGAAAAGCAAAACCGTATGGAAGAACAAAAAGAACAAAAAAAACCCAGAAATGTATGGAAGTATTGAGAGACCCTGGTTGTAAATATGAAATCAAAGGTACCCCTGCTTTACCTGGTCAATGCCCCCTCTCCATTTGCCTAATGCAAGAAGCAGCACTAAGATATGGAAAAGGGTTTATTGAGACTGTTACAAGAAAAAAAAAACCTACCTTGTGTGTGAGCATCTAAAGGGTATTTCTGCTGCCCATGTCTGAGGTGAGATGCTTTTTGGCCATTTCAGAAGGTAGGCACAACATCTTCAACAACAGAAAAAAAACTTGGGATAAATTGTGTTTCCCAGCTCAGCACCATGGTCACAGGGTCAGGGCACAGTTGTGCCTCTGAATGGCTCCATCCCATCCCAGAACTTCAGGAATTTCATGCCTTTGAGTGGAGTGGGCAGCTGCAATGAGAGGCAGAAGGTGGAAGCACATACATAATGATTGGTCCAGCCCAGTCTGGTCAGGCCTAGGTTTAAAATTTAGACTAAGAGGAGAGAGATATTATATGTATATATATGTGTATATACACATATGGGTATATATATGTAAGGGAGATATTAAGTTAAGGTTTGGGCACTGATTCCTGTCTCAAAAATGCAGGGAAAGTAAATGTTTTACTTCCTACTGCTTGCAGTCTGCCTGCAGACTTTACCACAGAGGTGTTTGTGTGGGGCACCAAGGGTAAAAAAGATGTTTTATGTTAGGTCTTCTTACTTTTCTTGCCTTCACATGCATGATCCTATGGCAACTTTATGCAGTGTAGAGACAAAAGCTGTTATGTATCTTCTAGTTATTGCTGTAAAGCCTCATTTTCTTATTTAATCCCAGCAAAACAATTCCAGAGGAGACACTGAGGAGAGCCAAGCAGATGGGGTTCTCTGACAAGCAGATTGGGAAGTGCCTGAGGCTGACTGAAGTCCAGTGCCGTGAGCTGAGGCTGAGGAAGGATATAGTGCCCTGGGTGAAACAGGTATGTGAGCAACATCACTGGCCCTGCTGGGGCTTCCAAGAGTGCCAGGAGACCTCTCTGTCTTTAGAAACCTCTGGTTCTGTTAACATCCTCAGGAGTTCAGGTGTTGATGTGAGGAGAGCACAGTTCACCCATGTAGCTGCTCCTTCTGCACTGCAGGCATCAATGTAATGCCATGAACATTCCCAAGGAGACACAGAATATTCTTGTTCAAATTCTTTGTGGCTGAGGGGGAAATACATGTGACTTCAGAAAAAAGCTGAAAATGCTGGCCCACCATGGCAGGACCATGGAGAGCATATCTCTGCTCTCTTGGTAGTAAATTTTTACAGGCTAATACTTTATTTGAAGTGTGCTATTGTTATGGGTTCATTTGCTATTCATTGTGATAGCATGAGCCTAATGAGCTCATCTGGTATTCATGGCAGTGTCACTAGGTGCTGGCTGCTGCATTTAAGGTATGTTGGTATTGAACTGTCACCAGCTGGTTTTCTGTCCTTAAAGATGGTAAAAAAAAACAAACCCAAACCACTGAACGTTTCTGAAAGAGTTCATTTGTATCCTCAGGCCCAGTTCGAGGTGCCAAGTCTTTTTCTGTTCTCCAGCTGCTGTTTTTCTTCTGTGGCTCACCTGGCCACAGAAACTGCCTGGTCTTACACTGTGTTCTTTCTGCTGCATATGGCACTGCAGTGCTGGATTGATTTTTGTGCCAAGGTTCACTTAATAAGGTCATTCTACTTGTGCCTGCCTGTGTGCCTTGAAAGCATATGGAGCCATGTACAAGTCACAGTATTAGCAACAGTAATGAGCAGCAGACACCTGGTGCTAATGATGTAAGGTCACATTCTCCATGATTCACAAGGCTTTGGACAGGCAGTGGGGATTCCTGGAACTGCTTGAAGTTTGGATAGATTTTTAAATGGTATAGCACATAAAAATTCATGTCAAGACTGCTTTCATATTTTTCCCTGTTCAGTATTCTCTGTAGAAATGTTTCTGATGTTCATTCAGGAAACTTCAGCGGTTGCTGGTGACCCAGATGGACTGGGTACCAAGTATAACATGCCATGAGTAGTTGACACAAATAGTTTGTGAATTGTCTCATGGGCAAAATATTCTTCTGGGCTCTCTTGTGACTAATTACATAAGAAATTGTTGAAAAATATATATAAAAGGTGGCTTAAAATCACTCTTGCTTTGTGGACCATTTAATTAGTCTACATATACATTTAAAGTATACATATGCATATAAAGCGTGGTTTAAAATCACTCTTGCTTTGTGTACCATTTAATTATCAAAGCATGAGTTATATTGTAACATAAACACACAGTAATTGTGCTGCTGCTCCACAAGATTTCCAAGTGACATTGTGTGTGTGTTTGTACTTGGTGTGGGAGTCAGATGGGGTCAAGAGTAGTCTGAAGATTCCAGACAGTCTAGTTATAAAGGGCAGAAAACCTGGTGGAATCTTTGTAATCTGCTGCACAAACTAAAGAATGAGGGCCTTGGCAAGCAGGGGAGAGTTCCTGGGCTGTGTAGGTGTTTCAACCAGGAGGTGCAGAGCTAAAACTGCAGCTTAGAAAGAGAAGGTTGTGTTGAGTGAACTGTAGGGCTGGGGCAAGGCAAAGCACAGGCTGTGTTAACAGCACAGGACAGTTCAGGTCAACTCCTTTTGAGGAAAGATATGATGGGAAAATAATAGGAGTGAAACAGCAGTAGGAAGGGAAAGAGGCAAAAGAAAAGGACCCAAAAATCTGCATTTAGGAAAGATCTTGCACTGGCCAAGTTACAATCCCCCTTTGTTTCCTGTACAGATTGACACCCTGGCAGCAGAGTACCCAGCAGTGACTAATTACCTCTATGTCACCTACAATGGGCAGGTAGGCACCCTCAGAAACAACAGCCTCATTGCTGTCTGCTCTGATCTTCTTTCCCTATTCCATGTTATTTCTGGAAATCTTGCAGATGCCTCGGTCTCCATAGCAATTCTTTTGGATGGTTTTACATAAAATCCCCTTCCAGCAGGCCTGGAACTTGCTCTGGCTCCAATCCTGATCCAGTGCATTTACTGTTAATGCCACTGTGTTGTTAAGAGCCTGTTATTTATCACCTGTACATGCACAGGTAGGTGCTGGGAATGCAGAAGTCCTATTTCCCTCATCTCATCCTAACATTATTTTTATATGAAGCTTCTCAGGTCCTTAAGCAGCTTCAATACCCATATTAGAGGTGCTGTTTGTCTTCTGGTCTGGGTGCAGCACTACTAATTCCAGGAGAGATGCACTTGATTTACACTGCAGTAAGCAAGATGAGACTGGAGCCCTGAAGGATCAGATTGCTGGATTTGGGCTGAACCCCAGAAACTGTTTATTCTGAAAAGCACAGAGTTAGGTGCTATGGAGTACAGATCCTAATGACTCTCTTGTCTCCCTCCCCAGGAACATGATGTAAAATTTGATGACTGTGGAGTGATGGTGTTGGGCTGTGGACCATACCACATAGGTAAATCTTCCTTACAACTCCTCTGTTCTCCTTGTCCCCTCAAGCCTTCTTCAGATATTCTTGTGGTTCCTTTGTTCCTCTTTTCATATGGTGAAAAAAACCTCCAGAGCACAGTGCACAGGACAGCAATTCCTAACAGAAGGTTTGTATTTTATACTTGGAGATTTCATTTCACACCCTGAAAAAAGCAGGAGAATTTTATTACTTTTCACTTGGTACTTAATTGTGATTTCCACAAAATTTTACAGAATTTTTTAAATCTCACTTTTTCACATGTTGAGGTCTTGAGAAGCTCCTACCTTGTATAGAAGCTTGTTGCTCCCAAACCTATCTTATATGTTTACTGCCAGCTCATGATGATATTGTCACTATGCATTTTACAGCTGTAAGTGTAGGTGACTCTGAAAATATTTTGATATCTTCAGCTGCTTTTGTGTGAGCAATTCTCTGTATGTTGTTTTTTCTTCCAACCCACTCAGATCATTATACAGAGTAACAGTTTCCTCGTGGCTGTGAGTATTGGGTAGACAGACTCCTGAATTCTCTATGTGATGACTTTCACTTTTTCTTTCCATGGATCTCTCCAAATAGCTTGCAATTGTTGACAAGGAAAAAATTGCTTGTTATTCAGAAATATTTCTGCTCTGCATCTCCCAGAACTGGAGATGGGTTATGAAAGCTGGAATTGAAAACTCCATCCATTTGCTTGGCTTGGATTGGAGAGGTCACATGCTGCACTCCTGTTGCTGTTTGTAGGACTTGTCTTTTTGAACTCCTTTTCCAGCATGAATGTTGAGATGACTGAAATCAGGAGCAACACTCCATGATTAGGCTTATTTTTTGTGAATGATTCTGCTGTTCAGCAGGCTGGGTGGCATGGCTACAAAAAAATGAAAAGGATGGCAGTGGTATTTCACAAGTTGATAGAATGTATGTGAATACATTTTGCACTGCTCACCTCAAGCTCCTCATTGCTTAGAATAGACATGCAGGTCTGTTCTTAGTCTCATCTGCTCTGCAGCTTTGATTAGATCCATCAAGACCATCTTTGGAAGAAGTTGTAGCTAAAGAAAGACTGCTAGAGGAAACCATTACTTGTAGCTGTAAAGTATTTCCTAGATGCAATAGCCAAGTTGCTTTTTTGGATTTTTTTCACTTTTTTTATCCTTTGAAGGCAAGTAAGTGTGGCAGTGTTCACAGGGGTCCCAGGATGAGGGAAGAGATGAGAATCTTGACTCCATGTTTCAGAAGGCTGTTTTATTATTTTATGATATATATTATATTAAAAGAAAATGGTATATTAAAACTATACTAAAAGAGTAGAAGAAAGGATTTCATCAGAAGGCTTGAAAGGAATAGAAAGGAATGGAATAACAAAAGCTTGTGACTCTCAGAGAGTCCGAGACAGCTGGACTGTGATTGGCCATTAATTAGAAACAACCAACATGGACCAATCACAGATCCACAGCAGCAGATAATCATTGCTTTTCTTTTTCTCTGAGGCTTCTCAGGAGAAAAATCCTGGCAAAAGGATTTTTCATAAAATATCATGGTGACAAGTAAACAGTGTGCTTTACCTTTATGCTTTCAGTATTGTAATCAGAATTCAGTGGGATCAGCTCAATGTTCTCTTCCAGGTTAGAAGAGGCTAAATTATTTGGAATGCAGGTATTGATGTAGCAGTTGTGTCCTGAGGAGCAGTGTCTGGTTATGTTACAGCAGTCATTACTAGTATTACTATTTATTTTCTGTCTCCCTTCTTCCAATGTTTGGGTATGATCATTACTGGCTGTGCCTGGAATACACTTAACAGCTGTTCAGCTGTTTTCCCAGGTTGTCTCTGAAGCAGTCAGATGAGGGCTCCAGATGACCATTGTGTTCCTAAGCTGAGGTTTCTTATACCTATAAAAATACCTGTGTAATGGAAGTGGAATACAAAATCTGAATGAGCATCTGGTGTCCTGTCTTGGAAACATCCAGGTTCAGATTTGATTTTCCTCTTTTTTCTGTGGAGTTTAACCGAAGGCATGTTTTGAGGTTCTTGTTTGACTGAAGTGAGGAAACAACTCATGTGCCTGTCAGAGAGTGACCTGTGCCAGCTATCAGTTTGTGACTAGGTGGTGGGGGCAGCAATTAAGCACAGACTGAATTTCTAACATATCTTGTCACACAATTAAATATAAAAGTAATATCAGTAGTTATCAATCATGTAATAAATGAATGCAGCACGATGAGGCCAAGGTTTTCATGTAGACTGTAAGCACAACCATTTAATGATGTTCTTTATGCATCGTTCTCTATTTGTGGTACCTGTTTTAGATGTTTGAGCACAGAAATGTGTGCAGCAGTAGCTGTTTGCACAAGTCTTGATTCAAGTGTTCCCTGGAGCCTGCAGCACTGCCCAAGTCCTGAGAGCTGCAGCTTGCCCAAGGCCAGGCACCAAGTCCTGGTGCTCACCCAGGCCCCCTCTGTGCCTCTTTCCTTTCAAGATGGTCACAGTGCCCACTCAGGGTTTGGGACAGTAGGATGGTCACAGACCATCTTTTCCTTTCAAGATGGTCACTCGGGGTTTGGGACAGTAGGATGTGCTTGTCCCACAGTGTTGCCACAGTCACTAGCCTTTAAAGCAAGATCCAGGGATCACAGAGTGGCTGTGGAAGTGTTGTTCTTCTCATCTGCCTTACCTGGAGTCACTGTACAGGAATGTCAAACCCACTGAGATGTAATTCTTTTCTTGTTGGTTTAGCTCTTCTGGAAGGGTAAAAACCACCTCAGTCCTCTGTTCTTCACACATGCTTTGTGTTTCATGGAATAAGCAGTCCTGTGTTATAATAACAGGAGCTCAGTTTATCCCACTGGTCCCTTTATTGTGGAGTGCATTGGTTGGGAAAGTGTGAGTGCAGTGATTGGATGGAAAGCAAGAGCACACTGAAGTGCTTATGAGCACAGGATGACAGACATGTTGGAGAGGTCTGTCACTCCTGAGCAGCTGAGCCAACTTACCTGTTGTGCTTGGAGCTTCACGTTTTGTGGATGATTAATTTCCACAGGAGGACAATTACATTTCTGACTCTGAGCTGACAGGAGGCATTGCTGGCTTATTTTTTTTTCTTCTTTAAGCTGGAGTGCTGAGAATATCTATTTATGTTTTTTTTCTCTGCATCCTTCTTTTCCTTGCCCCCTTTTCTGTCTCCTGGCAGGCAGCAGTGTGGAGTTTGATTGGTGTGCTGTCTCCAGTATCCGCACGCTGCGTCAGCTTGGCAACAAGACCGTGGTCGTGAATTGCAACCCAGAGACAGTGAGCACGGATTTTGATGAGTGTGACAGACTGTACTTTGAGGAGTTGTCACTGGAAAGGATCCTGGACATCTACCAAAATGAGGTAAAGAAAAGCAGAAGCACTATAAAAAGCCATGAAGCAACCCAAACTTTTCAAAATTCCTGTCACTAGCTTGCGAAGCAGCTGGGGGTGAGGGGAGAGAGCAAAAGCTGTTTGCTTTGGATCCCAGTGTTGCATTTTACACATCACTGATGCTCCTAGCAGGCTGCTCAATAAAGAATGCCAAATAAATATGAAATTATTTTGCAAGATGCCATATTGTGCAATATTTACAAGCAGGCTTAATTTGCTGCACAGACATTTATCGCACAAACTGTTCTGCCCTTGCACTGCTGGGCCTTAGCAGTTAAGCACACCCTTGATTTGAAGCACAAGTCCTCCACCTGGAGCAGTTGAGGGAGTTCTGTGCATCACACCAATGTGGGCTCAAGAGTTTGTAGGCTTGGCTTTGCAGTGCAGTTGGCAAGTGGATGTGGTCCAGCATACAGGCAGGCAGACCAGGGAGGGGCATTGGAATTGCCATCAAACCAGAAAGTGTTCCAGCTCTTGATCTGGACTTTGCACTGGTCTTTTAGCAATTTTCAAGTGTTCAAAAATGCTGATCTAAGAGATGGAGTATTGTATTTGCAGGGAAGCCCTGATGAAGGCAGGAATGATGCATCTGACTCCATGTTCTCAGAAGGCTAATTTATTACTTTATAATACTATATTATATTAAAGAATACTTTACTATACTAAAGAATACAGAAAAGATACTTACAGAATGCTAAAAAGATAATAATGAGAACTCGTGACTCTCTCCAGAGTCCCAACACAGCTTGGCACTGACTGGCCAATGAGTGAAAACAACTCACACCAGAATGCAATGAAAGAATCACCTGTGGGTAAACAATCTCCAAACACATTCCACGTGAGCACAACACGGGAGAAGCAAATGAGATAAGAATTGTTTTCCTTTTCTCTGAGGCCTCTCAGCTTCCCAGGAGAACAATCCTGGGCGAAAGAATTTTTTCAGAGAATGTGAATGCCACAATGGAGGAGAGTCCCAGACATATTTGATGATGTGGGGTGTATAATGTAAACAGTTGGCCCCAATATTGAAAATGTTGATTTCTAGCAGATAACATAGTCATCTTGGATTTGTTGCTGAGGCTTTTAAAAGTGCTTTCAGGAACTTCATCTACACTTAAATTCAGCATCAGTTGGCCATGTAACTTGCTGAAGCAACTTTGCAGAACTTGCTGAAGAACTTTCCAGAAATGTCTGGAATCTTCTCTAGATCATGTTAAACTTGTGATTTTTCTTGACTCTTTTTCCTGGTGTATGAGGATCTGAGCTCATCTCCTTTGTGAATGGGTGCAAATTTCTAAAATGGTTTTATAATCTGGCCATGTTTTGATCATTCCCAGGTTTGGAACCAGGCCAAAGCACAGCAGAAATTAAATCCCAGTCTCTAGGCTCTGTTCTTCAGCCATTTGCAAAATACTGTCTATGACCATTTTTAGATTGCATGTTCATACTTTCCTGTTTGTACAGGTTGTTTTAAATTTTTGTAAAAACAGAGACTGCTACTGGAAAACATAGATTTTTCAAGGCCAAAGAGTCTGGTGGCTCTCTGGACTCCTAAAGGCTGATTTTTGGATGCTTTAGGATTTTCCATGAGGCTCAGCCCTAAAAGCACTGAACTCTTGTTTACTTAACAGAACTGAACTTCTGAGCAGGGGCATGGAGGAAACTGGTGTGACAGTTTGTCAGACAAATAACACTGATGAAATACAACATCTAATTACTTCAGGATCAAAGAGAAGGTAGAGATAGGTGATGAGGGAGCTCATTTCCACATGGAGTGCTAGTAATTAGCAGGTTGGGTAAGAAAAATATGTGCAAAGAATACTGAATACATATTGAAACTTGCATTATTCTGCTTGTCAGAGCAAGGCTTGGCCAGTTTGATGGGGGGCAATGCAGATCTCCAGGCCTAATAACAGCAGCATCATCCTGTCATACCCAGGGTTTGCAGAGGACTTTGCTACTCTGGTGTGGGTGTCAAAACAACCAACTTGATGTTTGTGCTGGAGGTGTGAAAGCCATCAGACTCTGAGCCTAAACATCCAAAATCAGTGTTGTTCTGTCTAATAATTCCAAAGGTGGATAGGAAATACAAATAGTGAAACCACTTTTCTTCAGCAGTAACATAAGGTAATGGTATGATTATGCCTAATTTGCAAGTAGGGAGACTGAGGAGTAGATAGACCTGCACAGAGTAATGCAAAAGAACCTGGGCAGAGCTGGGGACAGAGCCCAAACCTCCAGCAAGTGTAGTCTAAGATACATTATTTGTTATATGTCATTTCTTTAGAAAAATTAATAAGCCAAATGCTAATGTGCTGTTAAGAGAATACTTCCTCAGGCAAATGCTGTTGGAATTCAGCCCCTGGGGAAAAGATCAAATTAAAAATGAATCAGATTCTGAGATCCTTCACCAATCCTGCAGGTAGCCATCTCTCCCATCTTCACATACAGAGTATGAACAGTGTCATGATTTCAGACTGTTCTTTTAACCTCTCCTGGTCATTGCCTCCTCTGGTGTTCCAATGGACAATGAACTGTTGGAAATGACTGAAAAGTCATGGATCATTGGCAAACTGCATCTAAAACCATCAGCAAACAGTGGACACAGCCCTGAGCCCTTTGTAGAGATGATTTTCAGCTCCCTAATTCTGTTAGGATTAGCAGCAGAGCTTGTACAGCTGTTAAGCCCAAGTGATTAGGTGCACTGATTTGTCCCTGCTTTTCTGATCAGATAAATTAGGCTGCTTCAAGGAGAGAGTTTACCAACAGCACTGAGACAGCTGCAAGCTGCCCACCAAGAAATGCTCACAGCTCCACACAGCCCTCTCCCAGGGATGTGCTCAGCTGTCCCCCCTCTTTCTCTTCCTTGTGTCCTCTTTAACCTCCAGGTGACATTCCAGCTGCAGTGACTCACCAGTCTGAGCTCTGCATAACAGAGCTGTTCATTGGAGGAAAGTTTAATTTACTGCAAGTATGCAGAGTTAGGTGGTAGTCTGTGAGGACAATAATTTAAAAAAATAAATAAAATTCCTTCCCTCAGATTTATTGGCTTTTTGTTTCCAGAGAAGATGTTCCCTTTTTATTTTAATATCTATCTGCTTGAGGGCCTCTACTGATTCTTTTTTCTGTTTTGGAGATTATTCTGAAACAATTCATAAAAGTAAAGGAGGCTCCTAGGTACAATTTTAATGGTCTAATTTGTTTTCAAACTCAGGGAAAAAGAAACCCCAGCTCTATTACTAATGACATAACAGCAAGGTAGTAATAAAAAGAGTGATTTTTGTTATAAAGGAGAAAATAATTCTCTCTAGGCTTCTCTCACTAGATTATGTATTGCGCGTATTTTAATGATATCTCATGGCAAGGATGTTATTAATTTTCTTTATAATTAAAATATGGCTGATGACAAAGTGATAAGCAGTGGGGTCCCTTTCTGCCTGCCCACATTTCTCAGTGGAGCAGTCGTGTTCCCTGTCAGGACAGTGGTTGCTCTTTGGGTGGGAACATGCTTTGGGAAACAGCAGCAGAATTTTAAAGTAAAGAATAAGCAGCATCTAGATTCAATTTATGGTTCTCCTTGAGTAAAAATGAGTATATGATTCTTTGCTATCTGCTTGAAAAAGGAATCTCCTGTGTCTCCTGAGGGCTGAAGTCCCTAATTCTATCCCAACTTTGATGTAGGCAGTATTTGCATTTTAGATGTGCAGTAACTAGAATTGTTTTAAAGGCAGAAATGAGCAGCAGCTGAGGAGAAGCTGTTAGCTGGGACACTTCACATTTCACATATGTCAAGAATAGATTAAGATGTTGGTTAACCTTGGAAGCAAAGCTGCTTTGACTTGTTACCCTCCTTCCAAGCTGCAAGGAGGGGTTTGCTTATTCACACTCTGGTTCTTATCCTTGTGGGATTAAGGGGTCAGGGACTGGAGGGAGTTACTCTGGTTTGGATGGGTCTGGAAGCACTAAGGCATGGATTTCTCTTCCAAGCTGGAGGTGGTGAGCTCTGATATCATGAGACAACTGCTTTTGGGCACAAAACAGCCCCTGTCCTTTTTCACTGCCTGTCCTAAGCTCTTTCACATGGTTGCTGTTGGCCAGCAGCATCATGGCATCCCATGAGTGACTGCATAGGAAAAGGGGAAAAAAAAGAAAAGAAAAAAATAATCATCTTATGCTGTGTATTAGCCTGCTGAGCAAATAACCTTGGGCTAGTAAGTGCTGCTTAAATGCCAGCCTGTTGGATCTTTATTATGGCAGGAAATTGTCACATCAAAGCTGAGTGGGGACTGTACTGTTATTTACCATCTATTTTTGCCCAGTCACTTATAGTCCATTCTGCTCTCAGTTTACAGTTTTGCCACTCCAAATCCCTTTAAATCCCTGAAGGAATGCCTCTTCCAGGAAGGCCAGTGAAGCTGACCTGCTTCAGGAAAAACACACTTGTTAATTAAAAGAACACTGTTCCTCTATCTTTTAGTGCCAAACCATGGATCACTTGCTTTATGTTTCTCATTTGTTAGAAGTAAAGGGTAAAACTTCTAAGTTTTTGTTAGGGTAAAACTGTAAAACACATTTGGTTCAAAAGAGTACTTCACTGGAGCTGTTCTGTGGACCAGATTGTCCTTTGGGCAAAGTTTCACCATCTTTAATTTGAAAGTAATGTGCTCTTTGTTGTAGGTACTCTAAGGCCTTCTCTTCTACTGAAAATTTTCACAGCTGACTAGATTCTGCTTGAAAGCATTAGGGATTCTATGTAAAAAGAAAAAGAAGCCCATATTTGCACCTGTGGAAAGGTGTGTGTTAGCAAGCAAGATCACCTGTCTCTTGTTATTTACTGTTTATTATTTTCTCACTTAAAATGCAAAGCTGCCCAGTGACAGACATTAAATGCTCCACTGTGGCTGGAGGGTGCTGTGCCACCTGTTCTGCCCTTTCTACCTCTGGAATTGGAGTGTTTACAAATAACCTGTGTGGAAATGAACACCCAGGACAGTTTGCTGAAATACTTGCTACTATCCAGGGCACTGCCAGAAATGAGAAGCTAGTCAGGAATAAGGAACTTTAATTAGAACAAAGGGCTAAGTGTATCCATAGCTTTGCAGACTGTATGAAGAGTTGGGCTCTGATTTATGCTCTGCTTAGCTTTGTTACACTCCTTAAAGACTGGCTTCTGGGGCTAGCAAATGTGCTTTGTTTATTGAGTAGCAGTGCTGGCAAGAAAAATATCCAATAATTCCAGTTGTTTCCCATTGCCTCTCTGCTGGAGGTTACTGCCTTGCATCTCTGGAGTAAAAAAGATTTTGCATGAATGTCTGCTCCTCTGGAAATCTCTGACCATGAGCATGGAAGAGGCTGTTTTTTCCAAGAGCTAGACTGAAAAATAGAGACCTCAGCATCTTGTTTGTTTGTGCTGCTGGGTGCAAAGGCCACAGCAAGCAGGGAGGGTAGGCTCAGTTGTAGTGAGAATTTCCATGTCTACATGGGTAGGAGCACATGGGAAGGAAACCTGACCCCACAGGGCAGAGTGCTGGGGTTTGTTGGTGTGCAATGCATGTCCCTAGTGCAGTGCCCTTCCCCTGGAAAGCAAGGCAATGTGTGTCAGCTCAGTGCTTTGTCCCCACTGAAAAGCAGAAGCACCTAAACCTGACATGCAGACAGAGTAACAGCCTGTGGTTCAAGCAGGACCTAGGGAATCATGGGTTGATGGGAAAGCTGCAAGTTTCTCTGGTTCTCTAGGGAATTTGACCTCCAGTTTTTGCTGGGTTTTGAGTGATATTGAGGAGGGAATTTCTGGTTTAGGGAGGATACACACTGCAAATCACACTTTGCTGCAGCCTGGGTGCCACTGGATCAGCACAATTATGATAAAATCATAGAATGACTTGAGTTGGAAGGGACCTTAAAGATCATCTTGTTCCACCTCCCTGCCATGGGCAGGGCCACCTTCCACTATCCCAGGTTGCTCCAAGCCCTGTCCAGCCTGGCCTTGGGCACTTCCAGGGATGGGGCAGCCACAGCTGCTCTGGGCACCCTGTGCCAGGGCCTCAGCACCCTCAGAGAAGAGAATTTCTTCCGAACATCTAACCTAAATCTCTCCTCCTCCAGTTTAGAACCATTTATCCTTGTCCTATCACTATCTGTACATGTAAGAAGTTCCTCTCCTCTTTTTTAATAAATTCTCTTTAGGTTCTAGAAGACTGCCATAAGGTCTTCCTGGAACTTCTCTTCTCCAGCCTGAACAACCCCATGTCTCTCAGCCTGTCTTCACAGGAGAGGTGCTTCAGCTCTCTGATCATCTTTTTGGCCCTATGATCTGTCTTTGTTCACAGCAACCTGCAAAGGGACATAATCTAAATATTGGAATTTTGTTGTGGCAGCTCTTCCTATTAAGATAACTCGCACATGACTGTGCTCCTTTCTGCCTTCCAACAGGGATGCAGTGGCTGCATTATTTCTGTAGGTGGGCAGATTCCCAACAACCTGGCAGTGCCACTGTACCAGAGTGGAGTGAAGATTCTTGGCACAGATCCTTTAAAGATTGACCAGGCAGAAGATCGTTCCGTGTTCTCAGCTGTCCTGGATGAGCTGCACGTGGCCCAGGCTCCCTGGAAGGCAGTCAGCACACTGGTAAGTTGGGATGTGCACCTGGGAAATGCTGAAGCAGCTGGGGGTTGGGAAGTGCATCTGCTCATCTTGATACATTTCACGATTTTGAAGGCATTGGACAGTTTTTTACTGCCCTTGTTGAAGAACTTTTTGATCCCTGGAAAGTGATGCTGCAGCAGCACTGGCAGAGGGTGGAAACTGGAAGGGAAATGTCTTTAAAGCACCTCAACAACCTGTGGTAAATACCCAGCAGAAGTTAGCACCACTGACAGGCTGGTCTAGGTATCCTGCTGGGCTTGAGGAGCAGGATAGAGATTGCAAAGGAATAGAGATGTGTTGGGATTGCTCTTTTTTCCCAGTGAAGCTCTGTGGACAAGGGAGTTCTGAAGGTGCCAGCTCTGAAACCAGGGAGTTTCATTCAGTGTAATGTGTGTTAGATTCAGCACAGGCTGCAGCCTCCAGCTTCTTTCCCCTCATCTTTACTTTGCTAGTAAAGTGTAAATGCAGTTAGAATTGGAATTTTGGAATGACTTTAAAATATTTTCTTGTTCACAGCATGTTTTTCCTCCCTTTCTTTAGAGAGATGCAGTTGAATTTGCAAGGTCTGTGAGTTATCCCTGCTTGCTGAGGCCCTCCTATGTTCTGAGGTAAGGCTCAGCTGTCAGAGCTCAGCAATGTGGGGTAAAAACTCCAAAAACCTCTCTGAGACAAGGCAGAACAACTTCAGGGAATGTGTGGGAAACTCTGTGCTAGGTGTAAGTGGCATCAAGTTGCCCATGAGACACCTGCTCCAACCAATTAATAAAGCCAATGGAGCCCTGAAGTCCATCAGGCACAGATCAGAGGTAGAACCTAATAATAAAAATCTCTGTTCAGCTGTATTACCTTTTGCATATCTCAAGGCCAAAACCACAAACCATCTGGGATATTCTTTCAGGTTCCTGAGATTGTTACCTTTACAATTAAGTCAGAAGATTGTTTGCCACCAGGAAAAAGAGAAGGGAACCTGCTGAGGCTGTTTATTGAGATGGGCATCTGTTTTCAGAAAATGACAGTGCATCTTTTGAGTTCAGCTTCTTATTTGCCAAGCTTCTCTGCTTACAGGCATGTTTTATGTCCCTCCACTGTGGCAGCTGCTTCTCATTAAACAGACATTGTAGAGAGTCCCTCATTTCCAGCAGCCAGACAGACTTTTTGAGGAGGTTACACCAGCACATGCACACAGCAAACTCCCAAGTTCTGAATGATTGCTGTTCTCTGTGAGAAGTTTCTTCATAGCTGGGTGACTCAGCACAGAGAGCAGTTTGCTGGGCACAGTTTACAAGTGAGAATAAATTGGAGACAGGATCCTTTTCATGTGAAAGACACACATATCAAAATGAAGCACTTAATATCAGTTTTCTGGGCTGGGGGACAAGCACATTTTTTATTTTAAAAGAAGAAAAGGAGAAGGGTTTCTTCGGCCCTGAAGGAAATATCCTTTTGAAGCAACTCCTGAGTGTGACTTTTCTATCTGGTATCTAAGACTTGCAGTAGGGTTTCAAGAGAGTTAGAAACCAGCTCTCCTGTTCAGGAGTAAAGTTGAATATAGTCAAGTATAAGGTAACAACTGCTCCTGATGTCATTCTGCAGATATTAAGGAACACTTCTTTTAGCCTGTTGTTTCCATCTGTATTAAAGCCATTATAGGCCCCTTCTGTGTTAAGTATTTGCTAATGTGTGTTAGTGCAGGGTAGGGGGACTCCAGGGAGAAAGGTGAAACTGGAGGATGTAAAACTTGAGGAACAAGAGTGTGAAAAGTCCTATCACAGCCTGGCCTCTGTCTGCAGAACAGCAGCAGTCCACAGCTAGATTTCTTCATTTTCTGAGCAGATATGACCTTTAATATTGGCCAGTTCCCTTGGAAAACTGAATGCCTTTCCCCACCAGTTAGGTACTGTGTACACCAGCTCACGTCCTCAGTGGTACTATTGACACAAGTTCATGGATTTATTGAACTCTATTGATTTACATCAGCCCAAGAGGTAAATATAATCACCTAGGTACCTGTGTCTATTTATCTTAGGATAAAGTGACTGATTTGTGGCATAGATCCTTCTTCCACTTTTCCCCCACAGCCTCTGTGGACTTGCCCAACAAAGGAAAGGGGAGGCTCGGCATCAATGGTAGAAATGGGAAATAACATTTTTTTAAAATAAGATTCTTGTCTTTAAAAAGGACTTGAATCATACTCTGGACCCATGTTCTCCTAGATCCCCTTCTCTGATAATTCTGGCAGTTACAATGAAAGCAGCTTTTAGGTATCTGCTGTACTGTGCTCACTCCCTTAAAGAATGAGACATTAGGGGAGGAGCACAGTGAAATGGCCAGCAAGGAACAGCCTTGGATCTGGATTTACACTGTCATAACCACTGCCAGTGACCCATGCAAGCTTCACTTCATGTGTCCCTGAGGAGCAATTGGGCTGAAATCAGCCAAGTGTGTTTGGCCTGAGCTCCTGGGGAAAGTCTGGGCCTTCCTGGGGCTGGGTGGCTCAGGAGCCATCTCCCCAGCTTAGGGGCACCTTAAAGGGCTTGGCTCAGGAAGGGCATTTGGCAGCAGTGCTAAGGCTATGAAAACACAGTTCTTGCTTTATTTCTCCACTGTGCTTCTGGAGATCTCCTGTCTCCTCTGGGAAGGATAGTGGAGGGTAATTGGGTACCACCTCTGCCTCTCTCTGAGTCAAGAGTAGGGCAAGTGGCTGGAGTCAGGAGCTTCCTTGGCCAGTCTGCCATGCAGAGGTGGTTGGTAACCTTGTGAGCCCTGTGCCCTGGTGCCCCACACTGATCTCTCCCTAGAATTGACAAGGGAGGCTGACCTGGCTTCTCTTCTGTTGAGTTTGTGAGGTCCCCAGGACAAGGTGACAGATGAGGAATCTGATTCCTTGCTCTAAGAAGGCTGATTTATTATTTTATGTACTTACATTATATTGAAGAATGCTATACTAAAACTATACTAAAGAAAGAGAAAGGATACATCAGATGGCTTAACAAGAATGAATAATAAAAACTTGTGACTGACTCCTCAAAGTCCAACACAGCTGATGGTGATTGGTCATTAAGTAAAAACAATTCACATGAAACCAATCAAACATGCACCTGTTAGTAAACAATGTCCAGACCACATTCCAAAGCAGCAAACACAGGAGCAGCAATCAGATTATTATTATTTACATTTTTCTCTGAGACTTCTCAAGGTCCCAGGAGAAGAAATCCTGGCAAAGGGATTTTTCAGAAAATGTGACAGTGACTTCTTCTTTCCTATTCTCACAGTGGGTCTGCAATGAATGTTGTATTCACTGAAGACGAAATGAAGAAGTTCTTAGCAGAAGCTACCAGAGTCTCCCAGGTACCTCTTTGTGCTGCCAGTTCCTTTTGTGTTCCCCTTATTTGTTTCATCTCTACTGTGGTTTATCTCTTTGTTTCCTTTATTGTATTTATCACTCTTTCCCTTGCCTGGGGAGGAGACAGTTGGACTCCTCAGTTTGTTCCCTGACAGATAATATCAAATATCCTTACTGACCCCACCAGGATGCCTGCATGGAGTAGGAAGAGCTGTTTTACCTGCATGTACATTTCTGACCAGTTAATTAAGTAAATGGATGTAGTCCTGTGAGCTGGGACCCTTCCAGGCTTGCCAGTGGCAGGTTATGCCAACCAGCATAGAAATGGCAGCATCTTTTGCTTACTTTTTCCATTGTTTTGCCTGGCTTCTTTGAACAACTAAATACTTCATCTTGGCATCTCTTCTGAAGGTTTTTTCTTCTTCTTCTTTTTGGTTTGTTTTTTTTTTTTTTTTTTTAAAGTAGTTAAAAATAAATGAATCAAAGATGAACTCTCTGAAAACACAACTGGCTGGGGAAGTCAGACATATTGCTGCTTTCTCAGGATTCTTAGGTGGTTAAAGCTTGAACAAGAATTAAACCATGAGGTCTTTAAGTGTATGAGGCAAATGGTGCAAGTTTAACTTTTCAGCAAGGAATGGTGGCATGAAAGGGAGATACCCTTCACAGTAATAATATCCTGAAGGATAGGTTGGTGTGGAGGCAAGGAGACCACTTATTACCATCTTGGACCAAGTTTTAGAGGGGTAATGCAGCTGTTACTTCTATCAGAAGGAATTCTTTCACTACTCTCAGAAGACTATGGGGTCATCCTGTGGTGATGTGCAGGTTCTTAGCAGAACCTGCTGAGAACCTCCCCAAATGGGATTTTTGGGTCTCCCAAAATGCCAAACTTCCCTTTGTACTTCATCTGAAGCACTCTGCTTTGTGTTTACACTCATAGAAGCAGAGCAGGCAGCAGCCTTAAGCCCCTTAAGTGGGACACATCACTTTTTGGGTGCTGGGTGGCTTTGTGGTGGCCCTAGAGGAGGCTGTAGCCTACAAAAGACCCCATGTCAGCTTCATTTGTCACAGCTTGGCTGACTTGAATTGGGCAGTGCTGTTCTTTGGCTCTGAGATGTCTCATCCCTGGTGCAGGAGGCATTTCTGGAGTTGCATTTGTTGAGCCTAGCCAATACATGACACATTCCTAGGGGAAAGAGAGGGTGTTCCCATGGGATCCTTATGCTATCCAGTTCTGCTGCACACACAGGGCACTGCTGCTGACTGCAAAAATGACCAGTTGCACACCAGGAGGTTTTGGGTTCTCTGGTTCTCATCCTGAAGAGACTTACCCTAGATTTACATGCTGGTTTTTAGTCAGACTGCCAAGGGAAGAATGTCTTCCTTCATCCAGTGTTGTGTGTTGACAAAAACTATGTTATAGTTGAAGCCAGGCTAGCAAAAAGCAAACCAGAACAAAATTAGAGTGTTCTGCTTCTACATGAGGGAGGATTTTTCAGTCTGGCCAAGGCTTTGTGGCCTGTGAGTGGTTCCACAGAAGCTCCCAGTGTTAATAGAGCTCCTTTGTGGGACATAGGCTCAGTTTTTCTGGTTCCAAAGCCTTTCGTAGTTCTGCTTCATCCAGCAGAACTCCACCAGTTCTTGTTCTGTTGTTTTAATGACTTTGCTGTTTCAGTGCTGTGTCATTTTGACATTTATGTTGTCAATAATGTTCAAAACTTCTAATGCAGGTTCAGACAGATTGAAGTAAACAAGGTTGTGTGCACATATAAAATCTTCAGGTGAAAAACTGTGGCAAGACAGAAAGGAACAGGACACAAGCCACTAAATTTATGAAACAGTGTAGGCTTCAGCATTGTCCTTGCCTGTGAATTTACCCTTGCACTGATAAATGGAAGGAATTGTGTCTTGTAACTTCTGGAGTTGCTTGGATTTTTTCAAGAGGAGCCTTTAAAACATGCACAAACTGTCATTTATTTCATTTTATTCTCTAATAAATAATAGGCAGTTAATAGTGGATGGGACAGGTAAAATGTTGAGACACAAAGCTGGCCAGGAAGAATGTAGATTAGAGTTTTTTTGGAGCAAGTGTCTGGAAGGAGAAAGTATTAGAGGAGAGTGGAGGTGTGTGCTAGCCATCCCAGAGACAGGCAGGAAGAAGAGGAAGGAAAACAACTACCAGGGAAGGTAGTGAGGGTCAAGGCCAGGTTGATCCTGGCCAGCTATAATTAGTGACAGCCTCTCCCTGGGAGACTTAGGAACCAGGCAGAGAAATTAGAGAGGAATGGATCAGTTGCATAAAATATATGACTCAAAAATAGCAACCAACCACTCTAGAAAGTCATTGAGAATGGCAAGGACCAGTTACTCTGTGAAGCACCATGTGCAGTGAGGTGGTTGGGAGGCTCAGAGCAAGGAAGAATTGAAAACCTTGGAGTTAAGGGCTGTCTTTAGGAGATGGGATTAGAGGTCATCCATGAGTTTCTTGCTGTCTTCTTTGTGCCATAATCTCTGTGGTTTTGCCCCAAATTTCCCTGTCCTGGTGTTGTTATGGAGAGCTCAAACTTTTTTGCATCAGTGGTTTTGGGGAAATTGTGCCAAGTTTCCCGCACTATATCTTTACAAAGTTCACTTATCTGTGTAAATGAGGATATTAATAGATTGTTCTTCTCGTCTTTTGCTTCCAAAGGGTCCTAGGTGGTCTACAAATACTCTCTTACAAAACCTTTTTAATTTTTTCTTGTCTTGATGTCAGGATTACCCTGTGGTACTCACTAAATTTATTGAAGATGCCCGTGAGGTGGAAATGGATGCTGTAGCCAAGGCAGGAAGAGTAAGTACTTTGCTTTCTTTAATATTAAACTTGTTTTTTTCAGGATCTGAGATCTGCAGAAATGAGTAATTTGAATGATTTACTACAGAGCCATGGATTCATGCTGAGGAGAGTAAAGAAACAAGAAGAATTCATCTTAGGCTGAAAAGTGTTGTGCTTGAAAAGCTCCACCTCTCTGATTGTATACATCTAACCAGTTATTTTTTTAAGCATTGCTTATCCATGCAAATGAATCCTTTTGAATATAATTTTTACCAGATTTGCAAATCACTACCTTCAGAAATTACTTTCTTCAGAACTTTATCATGGGTTATGGAATTACCACAGTTATTCAATTTTTTTCTTTTTTTTTTTTTGCAATTTTGTCTTGCCTTTCATTACTCAGCAAAGGCAAAAAACCCACAAAGTTCACAATTAGCAGAATTATTTTTTTTTCAATTTTAATTTTTAACCAGACACAGTCACTTTTTTGGTATTGAGGTTTTATGCCTTGATGCAGTTAAGTCAATTTAAATCCTTAGGCCTGGATTTCCTCTGTTTGCTTAGAACACCACAAAAGAGGGGGAATAAAATGATATACCAGTGACGTTATTTCATGCTTGTTGTTTGTGTTCTGGCAAGCAGAACTTTAAAAAGCTGGTTTAAAGCCTCCTTAGCTTTTACCTTCTGAGCCCACATGTGTTAGAGAGAGGAAGGAAGCCCCAGGATCTCCAGGCTGTGGTAGGTTTTATCATATTCATGATTTGCTTAACCATGATAGCAAAGACTCTGATGTGGTCTCCTCATTCATATGCCCAGTGTCTGCTTCAGGAATATTCTCCCCAAAATTTTAGGAAATTCACTTTTTGTTCCTCCTCCATCTGTATCTTTTTTCAGCTACAGTTCTGCTCAGGAAGCTGGGCTGTGCTGGGGAGGAAGGAGCAGTTTCTGAGAGGGTGAAGTGACCAATTATTGTATTTGCAGGGTTCTCTGATGAAGGCAGGAATGATGAATCTGATTCCATGTTCTCAGAAGGCTATTTTATTATTTTATGATACTATATTATATTTAAGAATACTATACTATACTAAAGAATACAGAAAGCATACTTACAGAATGCTAAAAGGATAATAATGAGAACTCCTGACCCTCTCCAGAGTCCCAACACAGCTTGGCCCTGATTGGCCAAAGAACACATTCCACATGAGCACAACACAGGAGAAGCAAATGAGATAAGAATTGTTTTCCTTTTTCTCTGAGGCTTCTCAGCTTCCCAGGAGAAAGATCCTGGGTGAAGGGATTTTTCCAGAGGATGTGAATGTGACAACCAATGAGTGCTCTCTCCTTGCTGTGTGCAGGTCATTGCCCACGCTGTTTCAGAGCATGTGGAGGATGCAGGGGTTCACTCAGGAGATGCCACCCTCATGTTCCCCACACAGAGCATCAGCCAGGAAGCCTTGGAGAAGGTGTGTGTTTTTCTAGCTCTGAAAAGAGAAAAGGAAATGAGGATTTCCTTTCCCTGCACCAACAGTGGAGAAATCAAATCAGCAATGATTTTTTAAGGCCAGTGTACTATGTGCAAGTGAAGGATGTCAGTGTTCCTGTGATTGGCTTCATTATCTGAACTGTATCCCAGTAATTTAAACAGTGCACACTTTTAGACCCATAGGATTTTTTGTTTCCTTGGTTTAGAACCAGCTTCTGTAGCAGTAAATTATTGCCTAATTTATACATAAGCCATGGTTCTCTTTCCACTTCCTTTTCTCCCACAATACTTAAAATGATTTTGTCAGATGTATGACTTTCTAGCTGCCTGCTTTTCCAAAAATAATATCAGGATGAATGAACCTCACCTAATCTTGACTTTTTCCCCTTTCAAGAATAAACCTTGTGATACAGAGTTAGTTGTTAGGATGAATTTTTTTTAAATGAAATGTGCCATGCTCCTTTATGTCATCCTGTTAGGGGTTTGCTTGGAAGCCAGCAAAAGCTGTAATGCAATAATCTGTGCTCCAGCTCTGTTTCCAAGAATGTCCAAAGTCTTGTTTCTGAAAATAGCCATCTCCTGGAGCAAAGCTATTCAAACCTTTGTATTGACACACCTGGGAAATAAAGCTTTCCTCCCACTTTGTTCCAGAGTGTTCCTACTCAGACACCTCCCACTGATCTGTGATGGCACAGGCATGTTGGTGAAAGATTTTCAGGACACTCCCAAAAAAGATTAGTTATTCTCAAATAATAAACCATTATTCATTATGTCACCAAGAAAGGTATAAAGACTCCAGTGTAGGAATTACAACAGGGCAAGGCTTGGATTCTTTGTTTTTCTCCTTCTCCCCTCTGCTTTCTCACACACACAAAAACCTGGTTTTTACTTCTGCCCTCAAATACACTTCAGGCTCGAAGTTACTAGGGAAATTAAACATGTTTGCTTCTGAAATAGTGCTATTGCCAAAATGTGGGTATAGAGAAAAAAACAAGGCAGAGAGAGATGATGTTTAAAGAAATCTACCAGTCTAGTGATTTATTGCCATGACCCTCTCTATTTTGTGGAACTTAATTATTTATTCTATATACACACATTAACACTTTCTAAATTTGTTTTTTTATAGGTAAAAGCTGCTACAAAAAAGATTGCAAAGGCTTTTGCCATCTCTGGTCCATTCAATATCCAGTTCTTGGTGCAAGGCAGCAATGTGCTGGTAAGAGCTGCTGTGAGTGTGGCAGGGCCTGTGCTGAGCTCTGTGGGTCCTGCACCTCTGCTGGGGACATGGTGGCAGTGGCACCAAACCTGCCCTGGCAGAGGGTGTGGGCTGGTGCCACCCTTGGTCACACAGCTCTCCCTGCCTGTGTGACAGAGAGCATCCTCCCCTGCCTTCACACTGAGGGTGAAGAGAGTCTGCTTGCTTTGTCTGTCAGCTTTGTTTCATTCTGGGCTGCTGTCCTTCCCAAAATGGCCAGTTTGGAATAGGATGGGCAGCACTGGGACCTGCACCTCATCCCATGTACTGGGTAGCATGGCTTTTAGAGCTCCAATATCTTCTCTCATCTTTAACTCTCAACATCATCTTGATGTTGAATTAAGCCTTCAAAGGGATTGAAAAGAAAGCAAGACAGTGTAAGTGTTGAAACCTTTACTCTAAGCCATTAGGAAGGTTATCTGAATAGTCCTAGTAGCTATTAGCAGCAGAAGTACAGCAATGTCTGACCCCTTCTGGGTAACAGTTGGCTTTCTGTTGCTAATGGAAGGAGGTCAGAGCAATGTGAGCAGAGAATGACTGAGGATACAGTGGACAGGAAAAAAATCTGACAGGAAACAGAAGAGATGCAATATTGGTGAAAATGTCTGTTTGGGCTATGAGTTGAGTAAAATGTACTTACTGTTCACCTTTTCTCTGTTTCACACATGGTCATTCAGAAACTCCCCAGAGAGAGAGAACAGAGTTTTCCCTTCCTTGCTTTCCCACAGCGGTGCCTTTGTACAGCCCCTGCTTTTACTTGTACTTTCACTATTCTCACCCCCTTTCACTCCACTTCATTCTCACTTCCAGCAATTCCTCTTCTGCTCTTGAGCTCCAAGAGAAGAACTTCTGCAGAACTTCTGTGGTACTTCCCTGCCTGGCTGAATGCCTGCCACATGTGGGTGGGAGAGGTCAGCAAGGACAGTCCTGGCATTCAGGAAGTGCCATCACCATGGGAAAAGAACAGGCTGGACCTCTGGAGGTTGTTCCTAATGCCTGTGCATGTGTTCCTCTTGTACATTAACTTAGGATATAGTAAAGCACATTTTCTGAGTGAGGTCTGGCTCCCCTCACTCTGATATTCAGACAGTAGAGATGGATCTCAGCTGCTTGTATCTCAGGGTGGCCATTCCCCACCCCTCTTCCCTCTTTTAATAATGATCCCAATTTCTATGTTTCCTATTTGACAGTCTGAAGAATATATCTGCCAAGAGGACTCAGGGCTGCTTTCAAAAAATGTGAATCAATGTATTTTTTCCCTGCACAGTGCCTGACCCTGCTGTTTCTCTTTTTTTGATCCCACCAGGTGATAGAGTGCAACCTGAGGGCCTCACGCTCCTTCCCCTTTGTATCCAAGACTCTGGGGGTGGACTTCATTGATGTGGCCACTAAAGTGATGATTGGGAAACAGGTTAATGAGTCATCCCTCCCCACAATGGAACATCCCATTTTCCCATCCAGATATGTTGGGATTAAGGTATGGTTTCCAAAAGAACCACAGGAATCCCACCACAGAGCCAGCACACAACACATTCATTTACAATTAGTACTTTAATGCCCAGAGAGAACAATTTACTCATTGGCCAAAGGTCAAATTGACCTTTTGTAATTTTTGTCAAGATAATCTGTTTGGAAACTTTAGAGAAAAATCAGAGGAAAATTATCCAATGAAACCAAGTCTTCATTTATTTTTAGCATCTAACCTACTCTGAATCCTGTTTATGAACTGCATAATAAATTTACACTTTCAGAGTTGAAGTGCAGGCTACTTCATAATACTATATAATAAACATGTGGACATGCACAATTTTGTGTTGTGGGTGCCCCCCACATTTTGTCTGCAGGACCTGGGACGTGGGCTGTGAAATCCACATCATCCCCTTTATGTACACCACTGGTTAAAATAGGGGTGGTAGTCTTGCATCCTTTGACTTCTGTAAGGCCAAGGTTTTACTTTCCATAATTGCTAAGCTTGTATAGGACCCAACAGAATAAAATGGATGGTAGATATTTTTGAATGCTTAATGGAAGAAAAAAATAATGTAGTCATAAAAAAATCTAAAGCAGTGGTGCAGAAAATCCAAAGGATAATGAGAATTGTTTGTACAGAAACTTTCAAGCTCAAATAGTTTCCATATAAAGTGAAAACTGAGGAAGCAGAAAACACCTAACATCTTTCTACTAATAAAATGTTCAGAACTATTAAAATGCAAGTAAAATTTATATTCCAAGCTAGCCAGTATAGATATATATCTTTACATTTCATTTTGATGCCACAGATAGGCATTATCCAAAATTCAAAATTGAGACTTTTTTTTTTTTGTGAGCCTAATTTATTTTTGTACATTCCTACTATTTAGACCTGGGGCTTCTGCACTGTTGTTATCTGAACTGCCAAGAGTTTTGTCTCTCCTGGGAATGCTGGCTACAGAGCAGAGAACCCAGCTTTATTCTTGGAAACTTCCCTACAAAGCTTTTTATACTGCTTGCATGCTGAGTGGATTTGTCAAATATAAAAACCTGCTAACACCTTTGGAAATGCTAAACTTTGAAAAACATCCCAGTTTAGCCTCTTTGTTGTTATTCATGCATCATATTTCCTATCCTCTTACAATTTATTGCTAGTAGTGTTTGCATGGACACAGGATCTTTTTTCCTTAGCAGTTCTTAAGAGAAAATACAAAACTCTTTTCTTCATTGTCAACATAGCTGCTCCTTTGTGGATCTGAGTACCACTGTTTAGGCTTTAGTGACTGAAATACTGTCTTGCCATGTTTGCTCCCAGACTGGTGCAAGTATCAGGGCCTGACCAAGATTAAATCCTGGGTAGAAAATGACTAATTTTTAAATAGGGTTTAGTTGCAGTACCAGAGTCTGCTCCTGAGGATGCATTTTCATGTTCATGGCAGATAAAAATTAGGGAGGTGGTGGAAGGCTTTGCTGCTTGTTAGCTTGCAAGACAGTGTACTATATTAATCCATGTATTAAATTTATTAAAACAATCCATTTTGACTGCCATATCTCTGCTTGAGTTGGCCACTGTAAACGTTTTCTCTTTACTTAAAGTGGAAACAAAACTGATCTAAAAGTCTCAAAGACACACAATGTTTTTTGAGAAGCCTTTTGAATTTCTCCTGTCTCATTTTAACTGGTCACTGTTAGGAGTCATGAAGCAGCAGCTGTATTATCTTCAGTGTTACCCTTGGGGACCTCCAGGGACAGAATTATGGCTTCAAATTTTAAAATAGATTTGTTTCTTAGCAGAAATCTTGCTGCCTTTATGCAAATGCCATTAGTAGTTTAAGATGTGGAGAAGCTCTCCAGAAAATTACTTGGTAGTAAGAAATTTATTCAATGTTTGTTACATGTGGTCATTGTTCCTTTAACAGAGAATTTATTTTCTTCTCTCCCCTCCATGTTTCTTATTTTAAGATTAAATGAGACAAGAGAACTCAGTGCTGTGATCTAAGTCCTCAGATGATGATGATAATAATAACAGTGATCAGGGGGCTTAATATTAGCATATAAAGAGAAAAAAATTACAAATGGATATTTCTGGATGGGGGAGGGGGAAAATACAAAAATAATTTGCAAAGTTTCATCTTGTTTGCACCAAAAAAAGGGCATTCTTATGGAATAGTTTTATTTCTGCAAATGAAACATTTAATGGAGAACAGCATTCTCTGGAAAACCAAGTGGATTCAGATAGTGTCTCTCCTTGTTCCATGAATTAAGTGCTTCACAGCCTTTCTGTTTAAAAATGTGTCCTTAAAACCATACTGATAGTGGGCTACCACTGATTGAAAATCTACCACTGGAATGTGAGCAGGATGCCAGAGTTGGATGATTGATTTATTGGTGGTATAGATGGGCATTTTTTTTCCACTCCACCATCAAGATGCTGAGGGAATTATTTTACCAAATAGTTCTTTGCTTATGAGCCTCCACCACTGCTTTTTTTGGATAAATTAATGTCTCTTTCTGTCCCTCCTAAGTGTAGCTGGAATTTTTATATTTTTTTAATGATCCAATTTTTATTCTTTCTCCCACCTGCCTCTTTCTTTCACCAGGCCCCAATGTTTTCCTGGTCCAGGCTGAGAGATGCCGACCCTGTTCTCCGGTGTGAAATGGCCTCTACTGGGGAGGTATCTTTTAGATTTACTTTTTTTTTTTTTTAAACCAAGTTGACTTTAAACATCATGAATCTTTGAAAGTGATCTTATTACTGCCTGAATCATGATGGCATCTGTTGCTTCTTCAGAAAATTGAAAACATCTTTCTTAGCTGCAAAACCCACAATGACCTGGAAAAACCAGTTTTTTCAGCCACTGGATGTCCCTGTTTACCTGCATGTCAGCTCCCTGAGTAGGACCTGGTTGGTGTGATAGCCTGAAATGAGTTTATCTGAGAGTTGTTGGGTTCTGGGTGGTTGTTTTATGACTCATGAGCTTCTGAAAAACAAGTGGTGACAGCTCCCAAGTCCCATGGACACTTGCTGCAGCACCAACGTGGAGACCCCTGGGCATGAGTGGCTGATCTTGGGATGTGTCAGTTGCTTAAAGGCAACAAAAATGTGTGGTGTTTTCTTGTTGCCTGATAAAAATGTGAAAGAAAGAGACAATAAGATGTGGTGGCTGCAGGGGCTGTGGGCAGGATGAGCCTGGGCAGCTTTGCCCACTCACTCTCTGTGCAGCCAGGCTGTGAGGTGCTGCTGGAATATCTCCTGGTGTGGTTATGGCATGCTGTGAGGGCACAGGACTGGGCCAGGCTCAGCATCCTCACCCTCACAGGCACAGGTTTCCATCCATATCACCTGCCTCACATAGAACAAAAGGCTTCTTCATGAATTATTGCTGAGCTGTCAAGGGTGTCCATAGATACACCCACGTGGTCTTTAAATTCCATGTGTTCTGCTACTTCTAGAATGAGTTGCAATAGCAAAAAACTTATTCTGGGCCAGAAAACCCTCTTGGAAAATTATTAAACACTCAGACAATTTGATCAGGCTTAAGTCTGCTGCACCATCCCTGGGCAGGTGGCAGATCCTGGGCTGCTCTCTTGGATGTGAGCTTGGCTATGTCCAAAGGAAACATTTACCATTTTAGTATGGAAAAGTTCCCAGATACAAAGTAAGAATAGCCTCAGGTCTCCTACACCTCTCCAGAATGACTTTATTTTACTCTTCATAATGTGCTGGAAATCAGTATTGCAGAAGATTTCCTTTCTGTATAGTTAATGGGCAGAAAAAAATCAAGTGACTTCTCTGACTTCCTGATTTTCAGAACAAAATAGGATATAGAGACAACCTCCTCACCAAAAAAAAGCATAAAAATGTAACTAGGGACAAGAATTATTTTTCTGGGCTTTATACAGAGTTAGAGATTATCATGGTCATAAAGGAGGCATTATTAACTTTTATGAGTTGGAAAGATCCATATTCACAAATGCCATAAAGTGTGACAGTTATGAAAGTCTTCCTTATAGTGAAGTAAGGATAATAACTTGCTTTGGGTAAAAAGCTCAGTTATTCCTCACAGACATTTTTCACACACATGGCTTGATCTGGGCTTGAATTTGTCACATCTGTCTGGCAGAGATTTATTTTGCTGGAAGCCATGGTTCCCACAATAGGAGAAGACAGTGCTGGGGTCCCTTTGAGTATTGTGGCTGTGGACCATGCCATAATGATAAACCTCTCCTGACAGGCTGGCAGCCTACAAGGGAGGGTCTGTCTGTCACCCTGAAAAGTCCAGGAATATAGAACACATAGAAACATATAGAAAACATAGATTATATCATGTTGTCATGACTTTTTTTATCCCTTCCCTTGTGGGATTTTTGTTTGTTTAGTTTTTCTTTTCTTTACTTCAGTAGATCTGGCAAATCATAATTTATTTTTAATGAAGTACTGTTTTCTGCTCACCATGGTGAGACCAGGAATGTGAGGGCTCACTCTGAGATGGGAAGGACCATAAGTGAAAAATGGGAGAGCAATTCTCAATCAGCTCTTTAATCCCATCTATATATGTTGGTAGATTTGTTATTTCACAGAAAAATCAGTGACAGTTTCCGCTTCTGATTGTTTTTCAACAAGTGTGGAGCTGACCAGAAAAAGTGTAGGTTGGTGGGTTGGTTTTTATCTTTTTCAACTTTCACAAAAGCTCACTCATTCCTCTTTTTGTCACCAGAATTCCAAATTTTGGTTAGGAATGCTGTTGATCTCTTTCAGAAGATTGTTATCATGCAACAGTCTGTCAGCAACTCAGCTCCACATCTAGTTCTGAGTGCTGGAGAGCTGCTAAATGATTCTTACTGGTTTCTTTTTCTTTAAAATTATAATTTATCTCAAATAAATTATTATTAATTGGCCTGGTTGCTTTTTTCTTAAGTAAATACTAAAATTTACTTGAATTTTGTTAATCTGTGGACTTTTAGTGGAAAAGCATCTTTATATCCTGTGGTTTTCCTTCACAAGCAATGCTAGGAGTACATGGGAGCACAAACCCTGCCTTACCCTGCTTTGCAGGCACACAGAGGAACATGCCTGTGTGCACAGCTCTCACTGGTATCTAAGCCTTCTCTAATGTTAAATAATTTGCAGTGCAATCCCAAACACTGGAGCAGAGGCTGTGTACAGCATCCCAATAACTTAGCAGAATCAATTGTTACTCCCCAGTGTGCTGTTTGAAACTAAAGCATTGCTTATTCCTCCATTATTGCTTCAGTCAAATGATGAGATTTGTCTGCAATGATTTTCTGATTTATTCTGTTCCCCATGCCTGCAGTCTCCATGCAAAGCAGTCTGTCATCTTCACACAGAAGCAAAAGATCCTGTTTGAAAATGTCATTCCTGTTTCTTTTTAAAGCACTGGTTTTGGGTTGGTTTTGGTTTTCTCCTCATGCATTCTTTGTGCCTTTCTGCAGGTTGCATGCTTTGGGGAGGATGTGTACTCTGCCTTCCAGAAGGCTCTGCTTGCCACAGGGTTTACATTTCCTAAGAAAGGAATTTTGCTTGGAATCCAGGTGAGTCCTAAAAATCAAAGCTTAGAAAGGGCCAACACAGAGGAACTCAGTAGCTTTTGCCTTGCTTTCATTCATGTGGCTTTATGGCTTAAATGTGTTTCTCTGCATTTCATCCTGAAGTGCAGTGGGACAGTGAGGAGCAAACACCATGGGGAGATCTTTACTGCATTCAGCAAGGCTGGTCTGGTGGGGTTTCCCTCTATCTGTAACTATCAGGGTCTCCTGGAACTACAGAAGTTTTTTCTGTCACACAGAGCAACTTTCAGCGATGACAGCAAGAGATGAAACCCTAAAATCCAAGCTCTAGTGTAGCATGGAGTCAGGGCATCTGCAGAGTCTGCATCCAAGAGGCAATCCCTTTGAGGAGGTAGAAAAACCAGAAGTTTGTGAGCCAGAAAAGAAGAGCCAATGCCAAATTTTAGTAGTAATGTTTCTGGTTTCCACACTTTGTCAGAACTACCTTCTCAAAGGGATTGCCTCTTGGATGCAGACCCTGACTCCATCCTAGACTTGAGCTTGGATTTTTGGGTTTCACCTCTTGCTGTCATCACTGAAAGGTGCTCAGTGTGACAGAAAGTTCAAATGATGTTGTGATGGGAATGCTCTCCAGTGCAATGGGTTCTGCAAAGAGCCTTTACATGAGGAAATTCCTGATGAGTTTTCCTTAGGAACAGCCCTGCCCTTTTCACAGGCCTGGATCAGCAAGGAGGGTGTGTGTTTCAGGATGAAAACACACAGAAAAGGAAAAAAAGGTCTTGGTTCTTTATCAAGGAATAGTTACTGACTGCATAAGGCGCTGAAATCAGAGACACTTGTAAACTTTAGGATGTTCCTCAAAAATTCATGCACTTCCAATGCATCTAGAACATTCTTGGGCCCCAGAAAACCATCTGATTGCTTCCTGCCATTTTCACATTGTGCTTGCAATAAGCTGATGCTCTACATGATTGCATAAAGCTGATAAAACAAAAACCAAAGAAAAGATGAATTTTCCTGTCAGACAACTAGGGTGTGAAAAATGTCTTTGGCTGCTTGTGCCAGCAGAGGATGTGAGGGAAGTGTGTGAAAAGTGGCCAGAAAGGAACATGACTTCTGCTAACAAGGATTACTGCTGAGTCCTTAAATGTCAACATATATACACACATCTGGGGATGGAAACAGTTGCTTTAAGTTATCTCTAATTAGCAGAAAAATTGCTTGCTACCTAGGTAAAGTTTAAAAGTTCAGTATGAAACTCTGGGCAGTTGGTACTGTAGGTCTGCTGTATATACTGCATATTTTAAACAGCATTTATGAAAGGAGAAAAGCAAAGACAGGAGGAGAAAAAAGGAGAGAGAGCACTGTTTAAAATTTAAGTGTATTTTCCAGATAGCAGCTAAAGGGGAATGGGCAGAAAAAGAAGTCATTTTAGCTATAGAAAGCATTTATGTAAGTTCTGTGTCAGTAGCTGTTAAACTGAGCCAAATGTTCTTTGTACAAAGGTTTTAAGAAGAAAAAAAAAGAAGGGAAAAAGAAAAGATAAAACAAAGCCCAAACCTCAACTCCACAAACCTTTTAAAAATAATAAGATTCTGTCTTTTTAATGAGTGGTTTACAGTTTATTTTCTTGCAAAAGAAACTTAAAAACAACAGATCAATCGCTTAAAGATCTCTCTGCATCTCAGCATATTTATTCTATAATTAAACTCCAAATCAAGAGGTATAAATTTGATTCTGAGAACCAGGCATTGCCCCCTCCTCAGTCTGGAGATTGTCACCTATGTACTTTTTGAAACAGAGGGGCAATAAAGCCCTGTGGGAAGGGAAGGTTGAAATGTTGACCTTCACCTGACATGTAGGCTGTAAATGATCTTTGAGTATTTGGCTGGAAAAAAGGAGAGCCCCTCACTGCAGAAATAAGAGGCACAAGGAATGAGGCATCAGGCAGGCTGTGAACACCAGCACTCTTCTTGTTTCATTCACAAACATGAACCCACCTACCTCATACAGGCAAAATTATTGGGGTATCATCACAGGGAAACACAGCCTCAGAAGGACAGATAGCACATAGCCTCTCTCAACCACCACTGAGTGTTTTCAAATGCCAGGATGGTTTCTGCAAACTGTTCTGGTGCACAGAGCACACACACAAGCTCCCCTGGTTGCCTCTGAGGAAGGTGCTGTGATTCACCTGCAGTAAATGGTGAGTTCCAAGCACACCCCAATTTTGAAGGCTTCATTGCTTCATGATTAGCACCTTACTCTGATTTTTAGAATGAATTTTTATCTGTTGCAGAGAGAGAAATAAGAAGCAAAGTGGTCTTGAATTCTGCTTCTCTCCAAAGCAGCTAGGCTCATATTTCAGTGATTTGGTATGCTGCACATTTATACCTTTGCTATTAATCATGTTGAGGTTAGAGGACACTGCTTCTTGAAGGTAAAAGTCAAATGGATATAGTTAACAGGAGGAGAGAGGGAGATCTTGGTTTCCTTGCAAATCTTTCTGGGGTGTTTTGCAAATCAAGATCAAATGGTGCTGCTGTGATCTGCAGTCCCAACTGAGCCCAGTGTGCCCAGGCAAGGAACCCTCCTTGCTGGGAGCTGCCAGGCTGGTGTGCAGTTCCAGAGGTCACCTCCTGTGCCATGCTGAGCTGGGGATAGCCCAGTTACCACCCAAGCTCAGGCAGGGAGTGCTCCTTGGCATGCAGGGCACAGCACAAGGCAGGCTGGGCAGCTGCTGGGGACTGTGAGCCTGCTGGGATGTCCTTTAGCTGAGAGCACTCAGTGACACTGCCCAGGGCAGGGGTCCCCAGGATCTGAGAGGTGTGATGCTCTCCCAGGGGAGATGGAGTATGACTTCCATGGTAGACCAATGAAACTCTGCCAGCTTATGTCAGCTGTTAACCTACCTCTTCCCACAGTCTGGAGAAATCTGTGATGCTGAAACCCTGACTCAGCCATTAAATAATTTATATTTTATGCAAAAAAAGTTGAAAAGCTAGTTTTTTTCTTTCCTGATTGGGCTATTCAATGATATCTCTGGGATGGAGTGCATCTGTCTTACACACAAGATGCAGAAAGCATTAATAGAGTATTTTATTTTTAAATCCTGGCACTTCAAGTCTGTTGTCTCAAGGTAACCTTCTGGCTTGGTTTCTTACATACCAGAATATTTGCATCCTCCTCTGTGGTTTGGATACAGGTCCCAGATTCTCACAGGAGATAGGTTGGCTTCATTTTGAGCTGGATCTCAGTGAGAACTGATGTAACTGTATTGAATGAGCTAAGGATGTGGTCCTTTACAAACAGCAAGGCTTGCTGGAAAACATCAGGGGTTATAAGAAATGGAACTTTTCAGATAAAGGAAAAAAAAATGCAATTCTCCTACAATAAATACCTTCCACTAAGTAAATCTGCTTGTACTTTTCACCTTTAGTAACTAATGCTTTCTTACACAGGTTATTTCAGCCAGCTTGTAAATCTGAGGCTGCTCCAATGCAAGCTGACAGCTGTAATTTCTTTTCATAGAGAGGCTGTTTTATGTGTCACAAGTGTTCAGTACTTGTTTGATAGAAGTTTATAATACTGTTGTGAAAAGCAACACCCCTGACCAGAAGGCAGAACCACTCTCTCTGACTGGGAAGCTGCCAACCCTGTCACACTGTATATTTATATTTTCCAGCTAATGTACAGAATGAGATGGCTTTCAGAATGAGTGCTCAGGGTAAAAAAACAAAAAAACAAAACTAACCCTGTTTAGTCCTTTTCTTCTTAGGAAATTGTTGACCCTTCAGGATATTGCTCTCTCATCCATAAAGGTTAAGCCATCAGTAGCTCCAGCAGGAACAAGGGAGCTTGTAATAATCTTACTTGCAAATGTGTGTAAGACCAGAGCAGGCTAAAGTTAGAAGCAAGGTTTGGCTTGCCTTGGGAGTGAGGAGGGCATGTGTTGCATGTGATATTTGCATTGCTGTACCTTCAACACCCCAGAAATACTTAGGCTGATACTGTCTCTCACCTGTTACTCTTTAAACAGCTTGTTCAAGTGGAGATGTCTGCAGGAGGTGGTTGTACCTTTCTAAATGATGTTGAGGCTGGAAATGCATTATAAGACAATCTTTCAGAGATGCTGTAAGTCAGGCATTCAGGTCCTCCTGGGAATGTGGCATCCCAGCCTCCTGACTCCATTTCCATATTCCCATAGGACTTAGAAATGCACTCACACTTGCACAAGCTCTTATTTGTGTGAATGTGCAAGCAGAGCACTCAAAGGCAGCCCAAAACCATCCATATATCTTATCTGCCAGAAGTGAAAGCAAATGTTTGAGCAATGATTGAAGATATATTTAATTAAGAACTGAGGAGACTCTAGTTGGTGTATTTGAGAAGGAAATTGCCCAGATATTTAATATAAAGTAGCAAATCTTCAGTGGTTGCAGTCTGACTTAGTACGGGAACACTTACTCTGGTGTAACACAATATGTCTCAGTTCACAGTCCCTTGGGCTTCAGGATCCAGACAGTTTTCTTGGGAATGGTGCTGTACATGCACATGCAGACATTTCTGTCCATGCACACACTCAGCACAGAAAGGTGAATTTGTCTCTTAGCACGGTGTGGATGAGCTTCATGTTGCCCAAAAATGTACTGTTCCAAATCCTACTTTTGATGCTATATCTAAAAAATGTCCTTTTTCAGGAGTCCTTCCGCCCCAGGTTCCTCAGTGTAGCAGAACTGCTGCATGAGCAAGGCTTCAAGGTAGGTGGTTTCACTTAGTTAAAGCTGGAGGGCTTTCAAAATCTCACATGTCCCCAGCCTGCTACAGGAACGTTGGAGTTCCTTTGGAGATAGAGGAAAAAAGGGTGTTTTCAATGTACAACAGGGATTTTTAGCTGAGTGATCCATAAAGTCAGCAGGTACCACCCATTAGAAGTTTTCATGTTTGTTTAATTGATAATATTGTTGTGAGGGAAGGAAAGACCTTGGCTCTGCAGCCAAAATGACATTATACACTCCCCCAGCTTCTCCAGGAAATAAAAATGCCAATGGGATGCCATGTATGGCAGGAGACAAGGAAGGAAAACCTTTTGTCTGGAATATATCTGTACAGTGCTGCATTTTCAGTGACACTCAGGTTGCAGATACATGAACTTTGTGGTGTTTACATCCCTCTTGTAACTCCTCTGTATTATTTTGCACCCATATATCTATGGAAAAGCAGCACAGCCACAGAAGACTGGTGAGAGTTCTGCTTTTCAAAACTTAGCACTAGGCATTAAAAAGAAAATAAACATGGCAAAAAAAAAAAAAAAAAATTACAAGTGATTGAACTTAAGCCCTATTGAAAGTCACAGGGATTTAGGTTTTCCTAAGCCGCTTCACTGCTTCTGGAAGTGCTACAAGCATTCACTGACTACCATCCATCAAGAAATCACAGATAACAGAAAGCTGGGAAGGTTGTTCTGTTCTCTGTGTGTCTCTCTATATGGAGAGACACCCTTTTATGAAAAATGCCCTTCAAAATCAGCTCTGACAACAAGGCTGTGTATTGGGTCAGGCCCACATGAGTTCAGTGAAGAGTTTTGGTATTTGAAGTACATAGTAAATATCTCTTTTTTCCCTGGGACAGCTTTATGCCACAGAGGCAACCTCAGCCTGGCTCAATGCTAATGGCATCCCAGCAAATCCTGTGGCATGGCCATCACAGGAGAGCCAGAATCCCAGCCTCCCTTCAATCAGGAGGTAAGAGACCAACCCACCTTGTCCAATGTGTGTTCACAATCCAGGACAGCAAATGCAAGGGGCAACTTGATGGTCCTCTTGAGATCAATAGTAGGGATTTAATGGGGCTTTGAATTCAATCCAAAAGTTTTGGTTTATCTGATTCTGTCTGGAGTTGCCACAGCAGGGAGGTTTCAGCTTAATGAGCATCTCATTGCACAGTCCTGTTTAGTATGGCTTACATGTATTGCTCCATGTTATATTTTCATACAGGGATACATGAAATCTGAATATTTAGCCTTTTAATGACAGTCAGTCATGCCTTTAACTGAGGTCATGCCTAAACATCTCAGTTGTGCTGAGCTGTATCAAGGCTGAATACTGCTTTGCATTGCTGACTAGAACTGAAATAAATCCAAAATCCTAAATAAAGCTTAGTGCCTTAACCCCTCCACCCTCATTTCTTCAGCAAAGACTAAGCTCAAAGGACATTTTTCAGGCTTGTTCAGCTGCTTGCCTGTGCTATTAATTTGAGGTTTTTATTAGGAAGGACACATTGTCACACTGTCTTGTGCCTTGCCTCTTCAGGCTGCTGAGGGATGGGAAAGTAGATCTGGTGATTAACCTGCCCAACAGCAGCACCAGGTTTGTCCATGATAATTATGTGATCAGGAGGATGGCTATTGACACTGGGACTGCTCTGCTCACCAACTTCAAGGTGAGCATATTGTGTCCCATATTGTTCTTTCTCCTCTTAGACATAAGATCCTTCAGAGCTTCCAAGCCCTTGTGATCAGTCTGTTTGGACCCTCATTGCCTCTGACAAATAATGTATCTGAAAATCATGACAGCACAGTGGTTTAAATATATCTTCTTCTTGCTACCATATAAAATGACACCAAGGACAACCCAACCAAATCAAACCAAACAAAAAAATATAAATTCTGAAGTCCTGAGTCCTGCACTGTGCAGCTGAAATTGTTGCTGCATCATTTTCACTTCAAAGCAAATATCTCACACAGGGTTGTGTGTAACATCTTTAAATTAAGCATGGGAAGTGCTTTTTAGTGGAATATTATCCTGGTATGCTCCTTAAACCTTACAGCAGGATGTAGCTGTGCTTTCTTGAGTGATCCTTGGGGCAGTCCAGTTCAGAAGTGCCATCCAGGTGGAATTGCTGCTTGTCCTGTTGCAGTCCCAGTTCCAGTCACTGTGGGTTTTATGTAGCTCCTGACAAAGCCTTTCACACATTGATGGGGAATAAATATTAGGTAATGCAAGGTGGGACTCCTGCTGCCAGCAGTACCTTGCCTTCCTTTGCAAGGGGCTTTGACTGTCACAGAAGAGCCTCATCTGGCTCTCATTAAGCACAGCAGCCAAACTCCCTCTGATTTTGGTGGGCACTGACATGGAGCCCAGTGCCTTGAACTGGTGTCCAGCTGTTCAAAAGCTTCTGCTGTGGTTGGAGGGAATGGAGGCAGGGAGAATAACAAGCTGAAGGTTCACAGGATGATGGCCAGGCATGGTTAGCAGGAATGGGGACTTGGAGATGCATCCTTTGCCTACTAGCAAAACACCTTCTGACAGCCACAACAAGGGTCCCCAGCCCAAATTTATTACCACACCTGCTTGATGCCTTTCGCTGAACTGTTTGGATTGTAGAGTTTTAATCTCTGAGTTTGAGAGAGGAAAACAAGCCTGGTTCTCTTTACATTTGAGCTGTAAACAACAGCTCTCATGGGACAGAGCTGTCTTGCAAAGGAAGCCTGGGCATATCTGCATCTCTGCAGCTGGACACACAGGCTCCAGAGGGCTGCTGTGCCCAGCCACCTTGAAATTGGTATTGATTTGGATGAACTCAAGGACTGGACCTGCAGCAGGAAGTTTCAGGGTGGCAGAGCAGAAGTGTGGAGCCTGCTCTGTCATGCAGCCTTTGCAATGCTCAGTCCTCCTCTGCTTTGTATTGACAGGTGACAAAGCTTTTTGCTGAAGCTCTCAAATACTCTGGAAAATTGGACTCCAGGAGTCTCTTCCACTACAGACAGACTGACAATGGGAACACTGCATAGAACTCTCTCCAGCCTGCAATCTTACTGCTTCTGGTGCCTCAAAAGAGAGTGGATTTCAGATCATCCCCCTAACCATCTTTCCATGTATCTTGCTTTTGTTTGGTCTTTTTCAGCCTGCACATTTGATGGGAGAAAAAGGCTGCATGTGTGTGTCCTAGAATTGCTCCCAAGTTCTGCTCAGTCCTTCAGGCTATTATCATTACTATTTTTCACATTCTCATTCAATATTGTGAATTCAGGTGGCTCTCCCTGTATCATAAAGACTCTTTCTCAGCCTTGTTTCTGCCTTCAGAAGGGGAGAACTCCCCAAAGACTTCCCACATGTTGCTGTCCAACACTTTGTGCCATGATTGTGGGCATTAAAATCAAATCTTTTGAAAATGAAGTGAAAGTGTTGCAGTGCTTTACCCCCTCCCAGTTCAATGACCCTTTCATTTCCATTCTACCTTCTCTGCTGCTTTTTCAGCTCTGGCAGCACCTTCAGACTGTGGAGCAGATCCCTGCTGTAGCATGTGGGGTGTGTTATCCTTGGCTGTCTGCAGGGCAGAAGATCTCAGCAGCTCTGTGGCCAGCAGCACATGCAGGAGGGCCTTCTCTAAACCCGGAGCAGCCAAGAACATGTGCCTGCCATTCTTGGCCTGCAGGGTGCACACAGCACCCCCAGGAGCATTCAAAGCTGGACAATTGCTCTGACACTTGCTAGAGTAAGCTGAAGTGGAATGCTTTCTTCCAGCCACACTCTGCCTGCCTGGGATTCCAAATCCAAGGCACTGCTGGCATTAGGTACCTACCTCTTATACACATCCCTCAATGCCTGCAGGCCCTGCCAAGAAATGCTGCTGCCTCTGGTGCTGGGTATCTGGTGGTGGAGCTGGCTACCACCTAGCAGGGCTTTTTGAAGCTGCAGATAGTGCATTGAGGGTGGTGTGGGTGAGATCAGCAAACCTGAGATGACACACACCTTGTGTGTGCTCCCAAGTTCCCTTCAGTCCCAAGAAGCTTTGAGTGTGGAGAATCAAGGTGAAGAGATTTTCTGTTTGTTTGGTTGGTTTTTTTTTTAATTAATGCTGAAACCATCAGGAAGGATATAAAATCTGATGAGAGCTGTTCCTGATATGAGCAGAGTCTGTGATTGCCTTTAGTTACCAAGGGACTCTCTGAACACTAGGTGTCAACTGCCAGGACCAAATTTTGAGCCAGACTTTATTTGTAGTTGCCATCCCAAGTGCTCTTTTCATGATATTTCTTCAGTACTGTATTTTGTGATGAACACAACCCTGCCTGCTGTGCACAGGGAGAGCTTTGCACTTTTGAGTAGAGATGTTATTAGAAAAACTCACAACAACAACATAAACCCTCAAACCAACCAAAACTCCAGAAGTGCCCAAAGGCATCAATTGTTCACCCATTCAGTTGTGAAATTGATGACTAATGGTGGTTAATGAAGCAGCCCTCCAAAGGCAACCTGTGCATGTGTTTTCAGTGGCAAAAATCCCATTAACAGCTGGTGTCATCTCACATCCACCCACCCTGCTTTCACCTCTAGTAGAGAAAAAAGCAATATCTTAAAGCATCTGTATTCTCTTGTTCTTCTGCTTTTGTTTTGTCACTCACCTTATGAGTTGAAAATGAAATAAATGCCTGGATTGTGACAGCTACTCATTCTTAAATTCTGCATGGCCAGGATTCTGCCCTTTTTTTTGAGTCTTCTTTTTAAAGCATTGCTGAGCACTGGTGTGTTAGGAAACCATCATTCTTATGTGTGACAGTGACCACATCATTTAGTGCAGAGCTTCTGAAATGCCTCAGAGGTGAGGAGGTGCTGGGAAAAGAGCAGGAGGACAAGGACTCCAGCTGTGTGTGTTCCAGAGAAGGGAGAAGCCATGATCCCCTGAGACAGACCTGTGAAATACAAGTGAGGAGACACAGGATAGAGCAGTGGGCTAACAAATACTGGAGAGATGGGAACTTTTATAAAGGGGCTGCCAGTTCTGGAAAAATAGGGAAACTTTGCTGTTAATTCAACTTTGTGAAGCAGTGTTGCTGTGCCAGTTAGCTGACAGTGTGGCTGTATCCATGTGTACTTGTACACACATTCCTGTTGCTGCAGCAGCTGCAGGTACTTCATCCACAGCTCCTTTGGTGTCCATACAATTGGAGTGGAATCCTGAAAAACACACCAGGGCTGAATACACTCTGAGTACTGTGTAATTAGGCAGTAATGTTAATGTTTTGCTGCTGGTGCTAAACTCTGAGCCCTTTCCCTCCCTCTATCCACACCAACCCCTTTGCTGCCTTTGCTCCATTTCTTTTTGGTGTCTCCTCCCCTCCCTCCCCGTTGCTCTGACTGATGTAGAATGAAACTCCAACTTCTGTCATGGTCAGAAGGAGTCAAGAAATCATCCTCCAGCTTACTTCAGGCCAACAGTGATGCTTGGCTGAACTTTTTTCTTGATGTGCCTTTCTTTTTTTGTGCGGACACTATAGGAAAAGATTTTTAAGTATCTACAGCTGTTGGGATCAATGCAGAGCTAAAAAAAAGTTACAATTAGTATCCTTTGTACCAAGCTCATCTCTGCTCTCAACAGATCCTCTCTTACAAATGTCTTTTTCTTATTATTCTTGGGGAGGTTGACAATGACAGATAAAAGGGGAGGCTGTTCAGAGTTAAGAAATATCCTAATCTACGAGCACTCAAATAATTTTACTCTTTTTTACTGTCTTAAAAGAGAGCTGATAAAAGAGATTCATGAAGGTATAAGAGACAGTACAAAGCACAACTTTTGAGATAAGCACAAGAAATGGTGACAAGAGCCCTGATGAAATATAAAGGGAACTAATTTTTAGGAACAGTGTGGTTTTTTTTCTCAGTAGTCAGTCTGCTGAGCACACTTTGGAGGATAGCTCCCCAAGAGTGCTGAATGATGGGAAGCTCTGGAGGCTTGATTTCCCAGGAGACACTGTTGAATATTGAAGTCAGGCTCTTTCTCCAGCTGATCACCTTCCTGACTTTACTCTTCTGAAGTTAGCACCCTTTAAATCACTTGGGAATTGCTCAGGCAGCCCATGCACAGGTTAGTAGCAAGGCTGAGATAGTTCAGCTTGGTGAAAGCAAAAAGAAAAGAATGTAAAAGATTGGACAATTCAGCACTACCTCTTTCTGCTTTCCTGATAGAGCTCTTAAAACACAGCAAGATTAAAGTGTATTCTTTATATAAATAAAAGAAAAATCCTTCTGAAAAACTTTAGGAAAGCTCTTTGCTCTGAGGCCATTTAAAACAGTCAAAGTCAGGTTTGTGACAGTCCTAGGAAACAACCAAGTAGAAATGACTCCATGGTCTGAAGGAGCTCTGGGCAGTGAGCAGAGAAATGAGTCTTGCTTGACTTGCAGGTTGCTGGATTTCCTGGACTGGATGTTGCCACCAGCCTTGAAAGCATCTTCTTCTCTTTCCCCCACACACCACGTATATTTTGCACTCCCAAGGTTTAAAAGTCTATTTGTGCTTGCATCAGAGACATCTAGGAGTCTGTCTTGGGGCTCAGCATCTCTGTATCTTTGTAATAAAGGGCTCTATAAAGGTAGGGAAGGATTGGAAGTTAGCACAGTACCAAGCCCCAAGCATGGGCTGTGCTGAGTCTCAATGCACACCTGCTGTCTGTGTGCCAGTCTGATGCCAGCAAACACTGGCAGGAGGGTGGGCTCATGCCACAGCCCACATGAGGGGGTCAATGAGAGAGGATCTCTGGCTCCTGCTGTTGACAGTGTTTCTAATTCCAAGCCATAGTCAGAGCAGCCTGGACCTTGGGAAGCTTCCATCCCATGGTGCTGCCATGCCATGTAAAGCATATGAACACTACTGCATTAGCCATCTGCAGGACATGGAAATCTGCTCTGCTGCACCAGTCAGCTGCCAAACAGCTCCCAAACCCTCTGTTTTTCTTCCTTCTGCATCCCAATGTCTACCACTGCATCATGTATTTTATAAGGAATAATCTAGTGTCGCCACATTTCTCTTCACTGAGAAAAGCAAGGCACAATTCTTCCCAAGAATATTTCTGGGTTTCACATTCTCTGAACCTCAGAGAAAGGAAAAACCATTCTTATTTGCTGTGCCTGTGTTTGTGCCAAAGTAGAATGCAATATGGAGATTGTTTACCCAAAGTGATGGTGTTTTGTTTCCTTGGCCTGTCAGGACGAAGTGTGTGTTGGGACTGTCAGCAGGCAGTCACAAGATTCTGTGCAGTGTGTGCAGAGTTGAGTGCTTGGCAGATTCAGTTTAGATGTAATGTAATATAGTGTAACATAGTATAGAATAATATAGTATAATAAAGTAATTAATTCGCCTTCTGATAAGATGGAGTCAGATGCATCATTCTCTCCCCCTCATCATGGATTTCATATAGCATAACTAGATTTCAATAATCTACTTATGCTATAACATTTATTTCACCTTTACATTGAAGAGAATTTAAATATGAACCTTTTGATGTGGCCTAATTAAATGGAGAACATTTTGTCATTATCTAGGAAGGCTCAACTCTCACTCATCCTCATAATTAAAATATATTGAATTCTGCAGGCTGATAGTACCACTTGAGATAAACCCTTTTAATTTAGGGAAGTTTGTAACGATGAAACTGAAAGACAAAAGCATTTGTTGCAAATCATGTTCAAGCTTTATAATAATGAACTTTTGGGAAACAATGAATAATTGCTAGGGAGTAATGCGAGTGCTTTGGGATTACCGTAATCTTGGATGAATGCTCTGGATTGTCTGAAACAATATCCAAGGGTGGCAAGTGCAGCTGATTTGCAAGGAGCTGCAAGGAGTGCCAAGGGTTTGCAGTTCTGTCAGAATTCATCCTTCCAGGGAATGTTTCCTGTTATTAAAAGCCAGGTTTTTTACTCTTATACTATTGTATTAGCAGGGGATGCCCTGACGAAGGCAGGAATGATGCATCTGACTCCATGTTCTCAGAAGGCTCATTTATTACTTCAT